GAATGAACAAAATTTGTGCTTTTGTCTGATTATTTATGCATATTTAATTGTTTTGTTTTCAAAAAAATGCATGTAAAACTTATCAAAAATAAATAGACTTAACAATAGTCTTGACTAGAGTCTAAGAATTAATCAAACAAAAATAAGACTTAAATTAGTGAAATGAACAAAAAGTGAATAAAAAGATTTGAAGACTAATAAAATGAAAATTAAACTAAAAAAAATGATTCCCTAAGGTGACAAGTAATGCTTACTTCAAAAAATGCTCTCAGAATAAATGAATTTTTACAAAAAAAAGGTTGGTAAATTCATGTAGTATTAAAGTGTTTGTCTAAAAGTTTTTTTTTCTATTTTCTTGAATACTTTAAAAACATTTTAAAATCTTTTATAGATTAAAAAGCAACTAATAATAATATTAATTAAGTAGAATAATTATGCAAATATGTTTGATTAAATTAAAATATTCATATTCAAAGGAAATTATAATAAAATAGAACATATTTTGAGTAGATTTAAATTTGCATAAATAAAAAGCTGGTATTCAGTAATAAAAGAGCTAGCAAGATGATATCGAGAAAAAGCATACATTTGAGCCGTTGAATATCGAGCAAAACAGGTGGAGATGTAATCAGTTGATAAATGATAATTCATCATCATTTTGTGATTCGCATTTAACTGTTGCATCACTCTCTATCCGTTCTTTTATCTCAATTAATTAACTTTAAATATAACTAATTTGCATATCTAATAGTTACACATAATTATATGTTTTTTTGAGATCGCAGTTTTAATTACATGTAATAACACCAAAGAGTACATTTTTAACTTTACAAAAGTTGTAGTAAAACTAAGAAAATATTTTGTAATTAAATAAATTGACTTAAATTTTAAACATGCAAAATTATTGACTACAATAAAATGAAATGAATTAAAATATTGCTTTTTTGATAAAATTTTTATTTAAACATAAATAAGGAATATAAATTAATAATTAAAAAATGGCTGGATGATATTATTGTAATTAGATATATTATTCAAAATATAAATTAGATATATTATTAAATATATAATTAAAAATATACAAATGGATACATGATATTATTGTAACAAAATTGTAATTAAAAATAATAATTTCTGATCTCAGAGCAGTCGCTAATGTTAAAAAATTCCTACTTATTAAATCAGAATTGTAATAATATATTCTTTCAATTGTATATTTTTAATTCCAAATACGTTACAATGTTTAGGTATTCTATGATTATAAAAAAATTTGTGTGATGAATTAATAAATTGGTCATTTTTTTCAGCTCAACTCAGTTACTTATTGGTACTGTAGAATATTAAAATTAATTAATTTGTTACATAAAATCAAAATTTGGAAAATCCTTCACTCTTTTATGTTTAAAATTCATTCTGCAATCCTTACAGTTATTGCCAATTTTCATTTACTTAATAATTTTGTTTAAAATTCATTCTGTAATCCTTACAGTTATTGCCAATTTTCATTTACTTAATAATGTTATGTTTATTTATAATTTTTGTATCGAACAGTTATTATGGGTACGCAAGCCAAGATATGCCAAAAATACCTTCAAATAAATTAACTAAAGTTATAATTATTTTTAAGTCAATTTTTCAACATCAATGATTATGCCATTGTAAAAAAAAAGGTCAATATATAAGAGGTCAGTACAGTATCCCAAAGGTTAGAGTTGAAAGAAGAAAAACAATATTCAGCAGTATGACGCTAAAATATGACAATAAAAATGCCTCATATTTTATGCAAGATGGCAATTTTCAACTTGTACGTACTTCTACCCATCTCAATAAGCAATTTAAAAAAGAACTTTCTTTCATATCACTATGAATGAATAATAAAGTTCAATTTTTTAAATTTAGATTGCATCAAAGTGTTACAGTACTCACAGGCAAATTTTGGTATTTTATGTGTTGACATTTCATTAAAAAAGCAATTAAATGCAACTTTCTGATAAATTAATTTAATATAATAATCAATATCTAAGATATCAATTAATAATTTTTTGGCAACTGCTCTAAAAACTTAAAAAACCACTTATAAAGTTTAAATTTGAATTCTTTAAATTTGAGTTCTTATTTTTCTTTGTGAATTTTACGACATATTTTGCTTATTTAAGAAAAAATGCAACAGTGGAATTTGCATTTTCCATAAAGTTTAAATGATTGATTCACTTGAATCTAAACAATCTCATATTTACACTTGAGCAGTTTCAAAAATGAGTTATTACATTTGATAATGCCCATTTATAATAACAAATATGAGTTCAGTATTATATAAAATTGAAATTTACTCAAATTATTCAAATTTTTAAATTTCACAATTTGAATTTCATTTTCAAATTTGCAATTGTTTTTAACAAATTAATCGAAGCAAGTTAAAAATTAAATACTCATTATAATTTAAATATCAACAACCTCTTTAAAGACTTGTTGTTTGTAAACAAACTTGCAAATGACTAAAAATATTTTTGGTAGTTATTTATTCAAATTAATGATTGCAAAGTTGCAATTGTTCTTAACAGATTGATCAGTAATTAATTTATACTGATCAATGGGCCCAAAAATGAATGAGCAATAATGCAATTAACATACCTTATTTATGAGTAATCACCATAATGATCAGTAATTAGTATATTGAACTGATCAATCGATGAGATAATTAATCATAAATAATCAGTTATCTCAACAGTTAAATCAGTAATTGTTAATCCAAAATATGAATAATAACTTAGCCATTTTTCTTATTCAGTTTGTTTTGATAATTACAAATTGATCAGTGCAATTTGTGTAAGTGAAGTGATAACTACTGATTAATTTGATAAATTACTGATTAACTTTTTACTGAAAAGTGATGGAAAAAGATATGCAAAAAAGTGATGTTTTTCTAGCTTAAAAGACAAAGTATTGGCTTAGAAGTGTGTTGTTTTTATCATAGTCGTTATCATGTTAGCGTTAGCGTCCATTTTATGTAATGAATACATGAAATATTAAATTGCTAATCCAAAAAGTGCATGACTTGTGGCTCTTTACTCATCACACATGCATGCAGTTTGCACCTATCACGCAAGTTAAGTAAATATTCACGTATACATAGATAGATTATTTACTAACACCAAAGTAAGCATCATTGCTGATCCATTTTCGAATTCATGTGGCTTTACTTTAATTTTAGCCACATTTTGTTGCTGCTGATAGTACTGATTATAGCCAGTCATAGTTAGTTAATTAATTTTTTAATTTTTATATTATTAATGATAGAATCTTTATTTAAGTTTAGTTAAAGCAAATTTTAAAATTATTACAAAAATATTATTAATCATTTATTACAAATGTATGACGTGAACAATCTCCGCTAAAGTTTTTTGGACTTATTTTTGCATTTCTTACGTGATAATTCACTACATGTTTTAATAAGACAACAAGTAATTAAAAAGTTTATTATAATTTTAAATAGTATATTTATTGGTAATACAATTGTTATCTAAATTATAACTATAAAATTTTGTTTTTTTCACTTTTTTCTAATTTTGTACAAATAGTACGTACTTATATCAGTATGCATACTGACAGCACATTTACAATGTAATGAATAAACTGAAGATGGAACTATTATCTAAATTATTAAGACCAAATACTGCTTTTAAACAAAGTAAATAATACTTTGTTATAATTCGAAAATATATCAGA